TCTACTTCAGAATAATGTCACATTTTAAAGTTTTTGGGTCAAGAACTTTAACAACCATTTTGAAAGGACACAATTCAACCAATAACAGGCAGTTATGGTAAAACCTCATTGTGATGTAAAGATTTGTTTGTCTTAAGGGAACTTTGTCACTAAAATATATCCAGAACTTAATCTCTAATATATGGAATCACAAGCATTTTTTTCCCATTTCTTTTCTTGCCAGAAAATGCATACACTCACCACAGAGAGGAGGAGAACGTGGCCACTCCACAAGCCCTTTTTTCCTTCATTGTCCACCCTGTCATGATTTGGGGCACATAGACACAAACCCCCAGGATGTTTCAAGCCATTAGAGCTGGGATTCAAACCAAAATCAGCCATGTGGATCCAGCTGCCTTAACTATTAGGTTATGGGGCTAGCCCTCAACTCTGTCCTTTTTAAAAGCTGTCTTCAGTTATTTTAGGTCCTTTTTGTGTATATATACATTTTTGATTAGTTGGTCAGTTTCCCCATAAAAGCCTTTTTTTTTTTTTATAGAAGTTTTTGCTATAGGGCACGTGCACTAGCCAGAGAGAGAGACAGACAGAGACAGAGAGAGACAGAAAGCAAGAAATCGCCCCCCAGGGGGGATGGCCACGCCGCAATCCCTTCTCCTCCATTCTCCTCTCGGGATCTTGGGCACGCACGCACATGTGCCCAGAGTGAGTTTTAAGCCACTGGGTCCAGGACACGAACCGCAGTCAACTACATGGGCGTCTAGGACATAGCCAGTACGCTAACTGCTGGTCCCGCCCACAAATGCCTCTTAATCTAATTTGTTGCAAACTGCCATATTAACAATGTTGAGTTTTCCTATCCTTGACCATGGTATATTTCATTTGTTATGTGTTTATTATGTAGTCTATGTGATGTGTTCAATTTCTTTGAACAATTTTAGTTTTCACTCTACAAATCTTGCACGTTAGAAAATTTATTGAACTATTTCACATTTTTGTATTATTGTAAATGGAAGTGTATTCATGATCAATTCCTAATGTTCAGTGCTGGTACACAGAAGTTAAAGTAGTAGGTTGATCTTGAACCCTGTGACCTTGCTAAATCCCCTTATTAAGGTCCTAGTAGTTTATCTTTACCTATGAGCTTTGGAAAAGGAAAAAAGAAATCTATCACTGAAGATACTGTTTTCCTGATCCTAAAAGCAACATATATTCTTTGAGACATTGGCAAGGAAAGTATTAAAAACAAAGATAATTCCAGTTCTTCCAATGTGTAAATTAATATAAAACCTTCTGATAAGTTTTCATAGTTTTGAGCAACATTTATTTTTTATGATGTATTTATTTCTACATATTTGAGCTTACTCTCTATTGACATTTATCATGCATTTTTATAATACATGACAGGATCACTTTTCCTGTTATCAAACTTTTGTGTACATAACTTAATGTCTGCAGAATATCCCATTCATTACATAGATATGCCACAAATAACTGTGATACTATTGTACATCCTTTATTTTGGAAATTTTGCAATACTTTAAGTAGTTTCAATGATCACCCACAGACGTGTACCGCTGTCCACATTACAGATCACACTTTAGCATCAACAACATGCAGCACTGCTTTAAATGCTTCATACCTACCGTGTCACTTAATCCAAACAACAATCTTCTGAGGTGGATATAGTGCCCTTATTATACAGTCGAGGAAACTGAGCCACAGGTAATCAGAAATTTTGAGAGGCCCAGTTAAGGGGCTTTTCTACTTCCACAAAGAGCCACTGCTTACAATAAAGACTATTTTTGATGGGAGTATGTTATATATGTGAATGGTATGTAACCACCAAGGAGAGCAGCAGGAAGTAAAGAGACTAGAAACTAATTC